GTTGCGAAACCACCCCCGTCCCAGCAATGGATTGTGCGTTTGGGACCCGCCACGTAAAAACCACTTCCAGTGAAGAAGCAAGGCAAAGCCTCGGAAGAGACCGCCCCTTATGATGACGACCACGGCAAACGTTTAAAGGACTACGATTTGAGGGCATGCACCTGGAATGTCCGGATCCTTAATGGGAAGGTGCCTCTGCCCGGCTGGTTGATGTCCTCGTAAGGACAAAAGCTGACATCACCGCCATCCAAGAAATGCGTTGGACGGGGCAAGGCAAGCAATGTCTGGGGCCTTGCGACGTCTACTACAGCTGCCATGTAAAGGAGCGGTGTTGGATTTGTGGTGGGAGAGAGACTCCGTCGGCGAGTGCTGTCGTTCACGCTGACGCTAGTCATTCAAAATTGATTTAAAAAGTTCAGAGAAATGTGCTTACAGAAAGAGTATGAATATCGAATTAAAGAGCAGTTTCTGTAGAATTTAAACAGATTCAAGTTTTTGGTGCAGAGGGACTGGTAAGTATTAAAAATGTCCTTTTAAAATTTTATCCTTGCAATTTCGTAGTATTTGTTTTTGAAAAAATTATATGTTAATGACCTATATACAGTCGATAACATCCTCGAATTTCGACCTTCTAACTTTATCAGCTTAAAAAATTACCCTCCTCTTCGTTCTTGTGAATCCAAAAAATTTTAATTATTTTAAGTTCTAAAGAAATTTGCTCTTGCATTTGGTACCCATATTTTTATTCTACATCGCATTGAATTTTTTAAATAATTTTTGGAATTAATCATATCATTGAAACTATAAAGTCCTGTAAAATAAATCCTGACGTCAGAGAGAAAAAATAAAAACGACCCTTTAAATAAAAAAGTAGGTTAAAAACGATAAAGATCGCTTAAAATCGATCTCAAATTTTGTACTTTCGCTGTAGAAATTTTAGGTCTATGCTATGTAGTTTGACTATTGTCAATTAAATCTAATTTTTTGTATTGCATGCGCTCCATGTTTGTCGTTTTCAATCTCATAAATTGTTTATAATTTAAAAATCAAAAGTTATAAAAACCAATTCCATTGAACCGAGAAATATTATTTTCTACTTTTTAGTCCATTTATAATAGCGTGGTATATTAAAACGTTTTTTAATTTTATTTTTTATATTTTAAATTGCATTGTCATCGTGATCGGAAGTATGCTGAATGTTTCAAGTCTCTAGCATGTCGGGAAGTTAGTTTAAAGTCGATTGGAAATTTCCGCGGGATGGGCAAGTTAAATAAAAGCTTGTAATAATAATAAAATAATGGAAAAAATATATTTAAAAAAACAAGCTTTTATTTGACATGTACAATCAAAGGAATAAAATAAAATAGTGTAACAAAAGATTTTTTAGTAAGAAAATGTGGTTAAAACTGCACTAAAATGAGTAAAATAAAATAAGTTAAGCTTTCGTCAAAGTTTCTAAAAGCCAAAAGGTGAAAGAAATTACTCAAACTCTAATGAAAATTACTAACAATTTTTATTCATTTACTTCAGTTTTAAAAAGATTGTCGCGCGAATAGCGAACCGGCAGTTACATATCTGCATACATATAACCAGGGAACGGATTTTTAGGACCTAAAAACCTATAAAAAAGGCAAAATAAAGTAACGAAATAGTATGGAAAAGGCAAAATAAAATAGCGAAAAAGGCAGGAAAAAGCACTAGGTATTGCAAAAAAGGCAAAAAAAGGCAAAACAAATTAACGAAAACGGCAGGAAAAGGCAAAAAAAGGTATTGCAAAAAAAGCAAAATAAGGCACTAAAAAAGACAGAAAATACGAAGAACAATCAATAAATATATTTATTTTAGAAATGCTTATATTAAAAGTAAAAAAAGAAAAACTATGAAGTAGTTTCATTATATGAAAAATTTGTACTTTGAATCTTTGACTATTTTATCCTTTCGAGTTTCTAACTCATAAAACTTTAATCTGTATAGTTATAGTAACATTGAACCACACGNGTGCGTAGGCAACTGGCTGAGTGAGTGGTGATTGTTGACAATGTTAAAAATAGATTTGTGGAATCGCCGCTATCTTGAAGAAAAGGGTGTAAACGTTTTACGCAATTTACATCGATATCATTCATTTTTTCGGAAAAACTCAAAAATACTTTTTTGTTGGCCAAAAAAAAATGTACACTTATTGTTTACGGATTTTTGTTTAGCGTCGTTATTTTGCATGTTCAAAAAAGTTTTGGTATAAATTTGATTACTTTTCAACAGTGGATTGTCCTAAAACCATTAACTGAATGAAAATAATTCCTTATAATCGCAATTCTAGTAAGTAAAGCATAAAATATTCGAGTAGGGTTAAGCACTACGGTCCATTGCATAGTGTTTGGAGAGTGGGGTCACGAGCGCTGTAGGGATTCTGCCGCTGCGGGATTAAGGGTCTTTTTTGCCACCGATGTGCATATCTTTAAAGGCAATAATTGAAATCCGCAAAGCTTATATATTTATTTTCAAACTAAAGCACAGATTTGGTTCACATTTCAAATCCCTTTCCAACTCCGACATTCCATGCGTTACGTGGTATCTACCGTTTACTTCCGACTTTTTTTTTTTAATTTTTATGGAATATTCATTATTTTAAAGATTACTTTGAATTTGAGTATAAAAGTACAACTGATAAAATAAACTAAATTATTAAAGTGTTATACCGACATTTGAATTGATAACGACGATTTACATACATATGTATTAGGGCGGGTCAAATTTTTTGCATCAAAGGCACATCGCGATTATGGTTATTTGGGTTATTTCAAGCATTTTTGCCCAAGAAACCATAGGTCTAAAATGAATTTCGAGCCAGCGATTTTTTCTATCTAGTTTTTTTTTCCGAAAAGTGGCTCACCTGTTGAAACAGCTGTATTGTAGCTTGATGTTACAAGTTAGTTGGAAGCTATTGTTAAGTATACAACTAAATTAATTAAACTTTTTGTTAAATGAGTGACTGTACAGGGTGGTAGTCACTATAAACTAAACGTAAATGTGTGTTTACACAGTTTATTTTTAATGTAAAATTTTGTTGTGTTTAATAATTAAACATGCGTAGCAGTTTTATTCTGTACATTTTTTTCTCAGTGAACAAAGATTTTGGTAACTTTTCTTAGCAACTATTGGTAGAAAAATCGTTGGCGCGTGGCAACCTTGATTAGCGTTGACGAATTGACGATTTCGTCGTCATTTTGACGTTTTTATAGCTCAATGACGATTTGATGATTTTTCCCCCGTAATGACGATTTTTTATTTTATTCCGTTTTCTTTTATCGAAAAAAATGTCACCTTATATTGCAATATTATCAGAGTGCAGCTTTGAAAGAAAGATAATGCAATATTCATGTGAAGATGCTGAAAGAAGAACACGAAAACTTGACAGCCCTGGCGCAGGGCAGAGTAAATGCAATATTATTTCGAGAAAGGAAAACGCTATTAGTTTTTCCACTAAATTACATATGTATGTATGTAAAAAATTTCTTACAGGAAAACGTAATCCAAAATACAACAATGCATATATCAAGTTTTTTTCTACAACCATGCTTTTAGTTATATTAAATTTGTTCTAGAATTGTAACCAAATAGTTAATTTGCACTGGTGACAATGATTTGAAAGAGAAAGAAAAGTAGGAGAGGGAATTTGTTCAGTCAAAATTTTCTATGTTAGTAAATGCTAATGTTACACTAAGGGTCTTCACATCCATTTTGGTAGTTTTGGTAAATTCCTGGTTGACACTCGGTAATTGTACCAACTGGGAACATCCTTTTCAGTTTTCTTTTGTTAGTCTGGTAAACTATTTTTATCAAGAGCGGATTCGTAGCTTTTTACCTAAAACAAAAAGAAATTGTAACAGAAAATTGAAGGAATTTTATTTACTCATATGCGTTATGCCTTTCGGTAGCGGGCGGATTTAAAACTGAATAAATATCGAACAGCTGATTGAAGTTTACCGACTACCAGAAAAATTATCAAGCTTCCTTCGGTAACCGGTACACCGATAATAAAATAATTTTACAGAAACCAAATACATTGGGAAAAATTACCGAACAGCGAGTACCAAGCTCGGTGTGAGTACCCCTACTTTAAAACTGGATTAAAATCTTCAAAAACTTCCATCCAGTGGAGTTCAATTATTTAAAAGCAGTTGTGTTTTAAATTGTAATTTTAAATTGTCGTTAACAATTGCAAATCCACTTTTATTAATCCATATTCAATGTGGGTTCTATTTGGTTTTGTAATGTGTGGTCATATTTATTGGGTCGTATGCATAAAACCTAAGCAAATTATTTTTCTTACATTTCAGACCTTTCACTCAATTTTTATACCCGAGCGCACTTGTGCACAAGGGTATTACAACTTTGTTCACATAACGGTTGTTTGTAACAGGCAAAACGAATCGAGATAGATGTAGACAAATGTATACATAAATGATCAGAATGAAAAGAGAAATCGATTAAGCGGTGACTGTCTGTCCGTCCGTCCGTCCGTCC